AAAAACAATAAATATTGCCTACACCACCTTTAAAATATAACATAATATAACATATTTACACGTACACATAATCAATGTTGCGTACACCGTAAGTTGCATATACGTACACAGAAAGAATTCGATGAAGGGTATAATTGTAAATTTCTAGTCATCTTCAACCTGAGTAGAGTATCCTCTTCTGCAACCCTAATTTTGCAGCCGTCGTTAACAGTTATCTCAGAATCTTATTCTTTTTACGTTTTGAATGCTTTTTACATATAAATCTTGTAAATCTAGCATATTTTAAGTTTGAAAATCTCCAGAAATTTGTTTTATTTTGCTTCTTGCGGGAATATGTAATTTGTTTCCAATTACTCGTCTCAAAAACTCTCAATCGAAGATGAATGAGAGATTATTCAGATCTTAAGAAAACGATTATCACTGAGATTTTCGAAGATTAAAAATTTGAGATTTTCGATTTCGTTTTCTCTTTCTTCTTCTGTTTTTTTCAATAATTTTTTTTCACTATGTGTGAAAAAAAAGCACAAACGTAACTGAACAAGAATAGTTTGTGGTTAAGGGCATTTTTGTCTGAAAATGCTTAAATGGCTAAATGATGAAAACTCAGCTTGACTTTGTCAAATGATGAAAGGAAAACTCAATTCTTTACCAAACGTGAAAATTTCTTTACAACTAATTAGTCAAAATGATTTATTCAATTCAGCTTGATTTTCGATAAATTTGAGTTATGTTTTTTAAACTGATTTTATACAGAACAATTGACGTAAAAAAAATCAAGAGAGAAAACAAAAGTAGATTATCACTAATTTGGGTGATCTCCGGAGCTCGCCTGACCAATTATGCTCACCCCAAGTTCGTCTCGGCCTTGGGATACTCTAAATGTTGTGGTGGAAAATATTAGCTTTGGATCTATGTCAGTCTTAGTGTTTTAAAAACCATGCTTCGGTTTCTCTCTCTTGTATTCTATATCTTTGAATTGAGATTTTGTCTTTTCGATTGGCGATAACAGTGTATGGGGTTTTTCGGTTTTTCAGGCTCGACTTAAAGCAGTTGTAGATAGTCAGGAGTCCGGTGTTGGTAATCTTGTTAATAGGCACTTCGTCGTGGTAAGATTTCCACCATTTTATGACGGTTTTATAGGTTTAAAACGTTTTCCATGGTTCGTTCTCTTGGATGTACAAAATTTCGGTTTCGGTAAAACAATTTTTTAGTTGTGCTATTCTGTTTGTCTTTAAAGATTCTACACTAAATTAGTTGGACCTTGCGACCTATGTCTTCAGAGTTTGGATTAATTTTCCATAACAATTCCAATATATTTATTATATGAAAAATAAAGCAGAAATGGTTTTTCACAATTTTTAGGAAAATGTTACATTTTTGTATGATAACTCAATTGGATAATATTTTACAACCCAAAGTTTTGAAATCCCCATATGCTTAATTAAAAGCCCAAAAGCCCAATAGAAAATGAAGGAAGACACAAATTCTTTTTTTCTTACAACTTCTAACTTTGGTTTTTCTGAAATCGAATGGTTTTGGAAACACTAAGACTGACATAGATCCAAAGCTAATATGTTTCACCACCGCATTTAGAGTATCACAAGGCTGAGAAGAAATTGGGACCCTAACCCGACACCTTCTTATCGTGTCACATTTGAGGGCTTCTCTCACAACGAATTTTAGCCCACACCCCTAGATCTACTTTTTTCCAAACTAGGTTCGGATACCATTTATTGGGCTCTCCAAGCCCAATCCAACTCTCCACAGTATGATATTATCCGCTTTGGACCTATATGCTCAAGCTCGCATTGATTTGTTATTGGACTCCTTCCCAAAATGTCTCATGCTAGTTGAAGTTGGACTTGACTTATATATCATAAACTTCTTTTCTAAACTTCCGATGTGGGACGTTGTTTGTACCCAACAAAAGATAAACACAGTCTCCCTCAACTCAAGTTCTAACCAAGATGGATGTAGATTAAACCAATGTTAGAAATGCTTTTGGGACCCACACATGGAGAAAACGGCTATAATGCCAATAATGAAGTCGTATAAGTTGTCCTCTCGTGATTTCAAATGTTAAAGGCGTGTTTGTCCTCTGGCCCAATCATGATTTATGGGAGCTGTGTTAGCGACTAAAGAGGAAGGGGAATGCGTCAGGTCATTGCACGCTTTTTTTTAATCGATCCGGAAGATTCTCGATGCTTTTGGCTTGTATTTGAGATCAAGAGAAGGGAGGAGGATTCTCATAGCTCCAGGATTGATCGTTGATGGCTAATCAGAATTTCAGCGGTGTCCGTCGAAATTGATGGTGATATTTGACGACTTGACACGTGGTGGTGGGAAGAAAACGTCTTCCACACATATCAACAGCTAAATCATATTCGCATTAATATTCATCTTTTAGTAAAATATGATTTAGTTTTAGGCTTGCGCTATTATTTAATTTGTAATCCGATTTTCTATAATCTGTTTTTTTGGGCTTAATCAATGTAATCAAATGTCCGACAAAAAATAATAACGCAGGTTTTTCACAATTTTTAGGAAAATGCTACATTTTTATATGATAACTCAATTGGATAATATTTTACAACCCAAAGTTGTGAAATCCCATATTTTCTTTAAAGCCCAAAAGCCCAATAGAAAATGAAGGAAGACACAAAAAAAAATTTCTCTCACAACTTCTATCTAACTTGGGTTAACTACAACGGTACATGAGAGTAATGAGAAATCTTCTGTGCCATTTCGTTTTGACAAAAGAGGTAACGGAGACGACGACGGTTTTTACTACATCTTCTATTCTCCGCAACTGTCAGGGTTTAAACTTGTAATCCAAAGTTGGGTACAGACTCTTCTTCCCCCTTTTGGTACCAAATTGAATATTCTATGTGATTCGATTCTCTGTTTCCATGGCAAATCTGTGTTTATAAAATCGGGAAAATAAGATTAGTTTTAGCTTAGTTTCATTGGTATTGTTATTTGTTTACTTGTTTTCTCTGTTTGTGTTTGTTTACCGTTTACTAAACCCTAGAAAGCTTAAATTTTTCTTACAGATTTTAGGAAATTGCAGCGATCAGCAAAACATGGCACCGAGAAAGAAGACATCATCCATGATATGGGTATATACTCTTTCTCTCCCTTTGTTACAAAAATCGAAAAAAGTTCTAATTTTTATCTGTTTCTAATCGAAAAAAGGTTTAATTTTTCTTTCAGGTTAAGAAATCGCAGCAATCAGCAAAAATGGGAATGCTAGACTCTTCTCTTCTCCCAGATTGTGTAAGTTTGCTACTACTTAAAACTATTTGTGAGTCAAAAAAAATATTTCTTTTGAGTGACTCTAGAAACTGTAATTTTTCTTGTAGGTTTCAAAATTGCACTTGTCTCCATCAGCAAAAATAGCACAATCTGCAACGAAAGATCAGACATTTCTGATGGGAGACTGGTCTCTTCTCCCTGAAGAGCTACTGCACATGATCTCCAAGTATCTGTAACATGAGGACTGTTGTTTTGATGTTGTTCATGCTCGCTCTGTTTGCAGTTCTTGGCGATCTATCTTCCCTTTTCCTTCTTGCCTATTAGGCCAAAGTTATTCTCTTCCCTCCTTTGCCAAGTTCCCTCGCAAAACAAAAGACTTGTGCACCCTGGAAAAGATCCCTTTGTTATTGTTTAGAGTTCGTGCTCCTGCTGCTGCGTCGCATCATGAGTATTTTATGGGAGATTTGGGCCCGGATAAGTCAGAAGATCGTATGGAGCTTCCATCTCCTCTTCAATGTTCAGTGAAATATAAGATACCAGGAACTGATCCAACCTTAATGAACATGCTAGACTGTCAGATCATCCCTCTGGGCCATCAGTATAGGATGATCGGTTGGTATCCTGACTCATTGGCAACAAGTTTCAGAGGCGTGGCTGTTCTTCCGCTAAACAAGCAGGGAGGAGGAGGAGGAGGAGGATTTGTTGTGCTTATCGGCTATTCTCATGGTTTGTTGGTGTTAAGAAGTGCTGAAAGGAGATGGATGCGGCTTGAGCAATCCTCAATAGCTGACTGCTCGGATATCGTCACTTTTAGAGGCAGATTTTTTGTAGTCTTTCTTAACGGGGACATTTTCGTTATCGATCCTTATTCTCTGGAAGCAACTCCCCTTATGCCACCGGAGCTTCTGAACTCTGGTTCATGCAATTATCTGGTTCCATGTGGCAATGATGAACTTTTTCTGGTTGTGGTAATCATCCCAAGATCGTCTGTGTTAGATTTTGGTAAGTTAACATGTAGAGTGAGTAAGCTAGATGAGGAGGCTGGTGAATGGGTTGAGGTCAGTGATTTGGGAGACCGTGTTTTGTTCATTGGAAACCAGGGAAATGTTGCTTGCTCGGCTAAGGAGCTTCCTGATGGTTGTGGTGTGAATGGGAACTCAATTTTGTTCACTGATGGGTTTGGCTTTAAAAATTTTGCCTATAAATATGGAGTACAAACAGGGAATGCGGATGACGACCTCAGTCTTTGGAGATTCTCAAGAGAGAATCTTGTGGATGTTCTCAACAAATCTCCTCCGGTGGTGGCTCTCCGGATTGAGCGCTAAGCCGTAAAATCTTGCCTTGGATACCTGAGACATCTCTTGGATCAAAAACAATTATTCCTATGATTTTTGGTAAAGATAATGTCACAGCAATATGCTGAAGGCTAGAACAGTGTGAGAGTATTCAAGTCTTTATTGTTGTTGCTAACTAAAAACATCTTGAGGTAATCTTCCCTGAAGTGTTCTTGAACTTACTTTGCTCCTTGTGAAAATGTGTTTGGTGGTCAAACTTGTTTAATAGTGTCCAAGCTAAGACATGACATGCAGACACACTGTTCTCCTCTTCGATTATTACTCGTGTTTTCTCTTTTGTATTTGGTGTCCACTCAAAACAGTAATGAAAATAGTCGTAAGAACTTAGGTGATATGTGAGTTTTAAAGCAACCTGCTTGCATGTGAGTTTGAGTTTGCTTGCAGCACCTAAAACTGGTCTGACAATTATTATTTCTTCACAGCAGTGTAAGACAACAGGAGATACACAGATGAAATCGATGATCAGCAATTGAAATTTTCAAAGAACACGATTGTTGTTAAAAGCACAACAGCTAATAAGTGATCAAAGTTCTACTACTTTTATTAATGTTTTCAAAAAGAAAAATACAACAACAAAAAAAAAACATAGGAAACAAGAAAGCTAAAAAGACAATAAAAACAAATGATATAAAGTCCAAATCAGCCAAAAGAGCCACGACATTTGACTGAACCACATAGACAAATCTTCTTGCCTTCATAAAGTATTTCATCTTCTCCATTCTTCTCCACACAAGAAACTCCATAGTCATATGTTAACTCTGTCATTGGAGGAATATGCTTCATCGCAAAGAGTCCAATGCGAACATATGTAACACCGTTGTTTTCATATTCAATAGGCTGCCAAAAAACATTGGGCCAACAGCTGTGGTTCATGAACCGACCTACATTTCCTTTCTCCTTGGCACTTATCAAGACTTGTGTCGGAAGATTGATAACTTCAGAGACCTGTTTTGAAGCATCTTCACGCAAAAGCTGAGGTTCATAGTTCCATATGAAGCTATGATAAATCCGAGATGTGTCGAACAAGTAATCGTCATCCTCTTCTACTTCTTCTTTTGTCTTGCTCACACCGGCAAACTCGCAGATAAAAGTTCCCGCTCGGATTGGATCCCAAGAACGTAAACCCCAACCACAGTTTGCTGTCTTGAACACTTCCAAGTGGAGCTTCAAACCGGTTTGAACCAATCGGTTTGGACAATCGTTGGGGCAGGGACAAGATCCACCGCACTCGTAAATCAATGGTTTACGACAAACCAAAATGTTCTTATGGTATGGTAACTGGCCACCGTTTTTACACATGCACGAGCAGTTTTGATGACTGCATGACTCACCTTCACAATTCTGGCATCCAAGTGATTGAATATCAACATTAAGATCAAACATCATACCTGAGTAACACTGAGATCTAATGTAGTCAAAATCTTCAGGAATCGTTTTGTCGTCTTCATCAACTTCATTAACGAGCGGAACTCGTAAAACCTCTGCTCCAAAAGAAATATCTCCAAGTATAGAACCTTCTCTTGGATCAATCAAGTCATGGTTCCTCAAAATTTCAACTGACTTCCAGATTGCATAACCAGAAGGTTGGTCTGGTTTCCTCACCAATTTGAATCTGAACTCCTTAAAGCCAGATTTTCCTATCACATGCTCGAAATCAGAAACCAGATAAAGTCCATCGTAGATAAATACCTTCTCATTGTTATGCTTCTCCAGTCTAACGACTCTAACGTCATTCCCTTTTCTTACACTTGCTTCTAGTGCAAGGTTTCCATTTTTCAGAACCTGATCACATGGTTGACGGTTCTTGCCCTTTCCGTCTTGTCCGATATAGATCAAAGTGTCAAGCTCCTCGGTTTCATCATCGTACTGTCCTGATGTTACCACACTCGTAGCAGCATGACCATCCACTCCACTCCTTTTAGCTGACAGATAATCAATGCCCGCGGCCATGTCTCTGTGAAGACCGACTAAGCACATTTCACCCCAGTAGTAGAATATATCGCCTACTTGTACTCCAGGAATTGGACCAATTCTTCTCGTCATATTTGTCCGGACCCCCAATCTCATGCAATTAGTTGACGCTGTTGTAAGGATGTCTTTTGGCTGGTTTACTTGGTGTAATCGCCGTCTAATCGCGTCAAACCGCATCAACACCGAAGCAACTATCTCAAGGTTTCCGCTTTCTCTCTCTGCTTTGGTTATCCCTGATTCAAATTTTGGACAAGATTTAATCAGTTTGCTATTAGGATCATATGCTTTTGGCTTCTTTGGTTTTCTCGTCCCGTTTCTTGAACCCTTTGGTCGGCCACGTCCTCGTTTTCTTGGACCAGTACTAGGACCAGCACCCCCATCATAAGAGTTGTTGTTGAAGTCATCAAATACCATTAGGGTTGGAGGTGGTGAGACCATTACTGTAGTTAATACTGATGTGTTCTGATTGTCTACAAAATCTTGTCGTCACTGGTGTTGCCTCGATCAGGATAGACTTATCCGTTTTAAAAGAAATCCTATCATTCAAAAAAAAAAAAGTCAGAGATCAATCATAATTAAAGAAAATATTTAAAACTTCCTCCAGTCATTAATAACTTGATTATTTTTAAATAATACTCCCTCCGTATTTTAATAATTGTCGTTTTAGAATTTTTATTTTTTTGAATTGGATGTCGTTTTCAAATTTCTATGCAAAATTTATTACTTTTTAATGTTTTATGACATCATAAAACATTAAAAAGTAAGAAATTTTGCATTGAAATTTGAAAACGACATCTAATTTTTTAAAAAAGAAAATCCTAAAACGACATTTATTAAAATACGGAGGGAGTAGTAGATAGAAAGAACGCTCGTATGAAAACCTATTGAAACCAAGAAATATAAGCCTGCCTATTTTGTGACAATAATGTGACGTCAATATTCAAACCGCATATATTATTATAAAATTGCATAACAATATGTTTAGATCTGAATTTTTTTTTTGAATATCTTGAAGTTCAAGCCCAAAGGCCCAACATCTCCCAGAAGCAGGACCCACCCCAAATTAAATTCATCTCCTTTGGAGAAAAGATCTCTCCTAACGGACGTCGAACCCAGTACCTCCACCTGAAAGATTTACCACTGGGCCAACACAACGTTGGTGTTTAGATCTGAATTATATAGCGATGATCCACTCGACTAAGAAGAACTCTTAATCAATTTGGATTCTTCAAAATCAAAGTGCAACTAATTTTATACATATATGTAATCTTAATTCCGACACAAACCTAAAAATAAAAGAAACAAGAAACAAATAAATAAAAACAAATTATCAACACCCGATACATTAGTTAAGCAATTTAAACAAAAATAAAACACGAACTGTACATAAAACATGAAAATATTGAAACAACAAATCAAATAAGCATGTACCTTAATAAAACCGAAAAATGAGATCTAAAATTCTTCAAAGAACACGAACCGAAGGAGGAGAGAAAACATGAAGTAGGAAATAAACGAAGAATTAAAAGAAATGTCACGAACGGGTAATGGTTAAGGTAGCGAAGCTAGAATGGTTTATGTGATATTTGAGAGTAGATATGAGCGAAAATATAATCCCTTATCTAAAGGAAATAAAGATGACGTGTTGTTGTTCAAAAGAAGAATGATGGCCGTTAGATTCATCTCTACCGTCCAACTTTAAATCATTTAAAAATTTTATATTTTTTTCTTTGTTATTCAATGTATCTTAGTTTACCCATTAATGTTTTAAAACTTTTGCCTAAAAATAGTTAACATAATTAAAAGTGAAATATCTCTACTTTCCCATTTTAAATCATATTTCTACATATATGTAGTTTATTCAACTCTCTCTAAAAAGTAAATGGTTTAACATAAAGTATTAAGTATTACGCGCTATAATTAAATTTTGAATATGACTGTAGAAGTTTGCATTTTAAGAAGATATATCTTTGCGGAAAGATTTGACTTATTTTTATTAAGTATCAAACGTAGGATGTCAAAATGGATCAAAATTCATAGGTCAACTCAACTCAACTCAATACATGAATCTTAATAAGTTTGAATTTATGGGTTGATGAATCAAATTAGTTGGGTTGTAATGGGTCAATGGTTTCAATAGTTTACCCATTAAACCCATCTTTTTTTGTTAAATTGAATCAAACCAATTCAAATCTCTAAACCGATATCAATATTAGTCTAACCAAAACTTCTAAACCAATTGAATATTATCCTTTTCCCCCAAAGATGTGTATACTCAATTTTCCCCCAAAAACATAAATTCATAATTTTTCCGCCAAAAACGTAAATCTGCAGTTTTCCCGCCAAAGAATATTCACAATTTTTAACCAAAAACGATAATGTGCAATTTTCATGCCAAAAATGTAAATCTGTGATTTTTCAGCCAAAAACATAAATCCGTAATTTTTCCGCCAAAAACGTAAATTCGTGATTTTCCGCCAAAAACGTAAATCCATGATTTTTTCTGCCAAAAACGTAAATCCGTAATTTTTCTGCTAAAACGTAAATCCGTGATTTTTCCGCCAAATAATAGTGATAATGATGGCTATTATTATTACTAGGTTATGAACCCCCGCGATGTCGCGGGAGAACTCATTTTAAACAAATATATTTTATTGTATTTATGTATTAAATTATTATGATAATATATTCAATATTTAAATTATTACATAAAATAAATTATGTTAAAATATTTTATGAATAAAAATATAAAAAAGAAGAATTATGATTAAAAACACTTTTGAAATATTTTTTATGCATATAAAGTTATTTATAAGTGATAAAATACATAGTGAAGAGTTATAATATAGAGATGTGAAATTCTAGCGGGTTAAAACCAAAAAGACATAAACAACGTAACCGGAAAAATTATTGTCAACGAAAAAGATAACCTTCAATATTTTAACGAAGAGTTACAATAAAATGACATAACCGAGAAAAAATAACCGTCAATATTTTAACGGAAAGTTGCGATAAAAAGACATAACCTAGAAATAGAACTGTCAAATTTTAACGGAAAGTTGCGATAAAAAGACACAACCAAAAAAGTAACTGTCAATATTTTAACGGAAAGTTACGAGAATAAGACACATACGAAAAAATAACCGTCAATGAAAAATGTAACTGTAAATATTTTAACGAAGAGTTGCGATAAAAATACACCACCGAGAAAAAATAACAGTTAATATTTTAACGGAAAGTTGCGATAAAAAGACATAAACCAAAAAAATTAACCTTCAATATTTTAACAGAAAGTTGCGATGAAAAGACACAACCAAACAAATAACCGTCAACGAAAAAAGTAACCATCAAATATTAACGAAGATTTACGATAAAAAGACACAACCGAGAAAAGATAACCATCAGTATTTTAACGGAAAGTTGCGATAGGAAGACAAAACCGAGGAAAAATAACCGTCGATATTTTAACGGAAAGTTACGAGAATAAGACACATACGAAAAAATAATCGTCAATGAAAAATGTAACTGTAAATATTTTAACGAAGAGTTGCTATAAAAATACACCACCGAGAAAAAATAACAGTTAATATTTAAACGGAAAGTTGCGATAAAAAGACATAAACAAAAAAAATTAACCGACAATATTTTAACAGTAAGTTGCGATGAAAAGACACAACCAAACAAATAACCGTCAACGAAAAAAGTAACCGTCAAATATTAACGAAGATTTGCGATAAAAAGACACAACCGAGAAAAGATAACCATCAGTATTTTAACGGAAAGTTGCGATAGGAAGACACAACCGAGAAAAAATAATCGTCAATGAAAAATGTAACTGTAAATATTTTAGCGAAGAGTTGCGATAAAAATACACCACCGAGAAAAAAGAACAGTTAATATTTTAACGGAAAGTTGCGATAAAAAGACACAAACAAAAAAATTAATCGTCAATATTTTAACAGAAAGTTGCGATAAAAAGACACAACCAAACAAATAACCGTCAACGAAAAAAGTAACCGTCAAATTTTAACGAAGATTTGCGATAAAAAGACACAACCGAGAAAAGATAACCGTCAGTATTTTAACGGAAAGTTGCGGTAGAAAGACACAACCGAAAAAAAAATAATCGTCGATATTTTAACGGAAAGTTGCGATAGAAAGACACAAACGAAAAAAGTAACCGTTAACATTTTAACCGAAATTTTCGATAAAAAGACACAATCGAAAAAATAACCGTCAACGAAAAATGTAATAACTTACAACAAAAGATTGGACTTAACATTCTACACACTAATATTTTTTCGCGATTGATTATTTTCTTCTAACATGAATGAATTGCTCTTCATCATCTTATGAATTATGATGCACTGGTTTTAAGCAAAAATGATTAAATTGAATATATGACAAAAATAATACAAACCAGACACAACAGACCCTCCGTGTCAACCAGAAGCTCTCTCTTACTTAGCTCACAGTCTTCTTTGTCTCTGTCACTTTTAGGGTTCTACACTTTTACTCCACACTTCCACAGTTTGGGTACCAAATTGAATAATTGACTCTTTCTTCTTCCCTCTTTTGGTACCAAATTGAATAATTGATTCTCTCATTCCAATATCTGTTGACAAATCTTGTTCTTGATAGTTACTTTTCTATGTTCATGTTTGTTTACAGTTCTACTTTTTCTTACAGGTTTCTGAAATTGCAGCAATCAGCAAACATGGCACCGAAAACAAGACATCAACCATGATTTGGGTACAGACTCTTTCTCTCCTTACGGTACAAAAATTGATAAAGTTTAAATTTGTTTTTATCGAGTTCTTGAACTGGATTTGATTCCCCAGTTTCAATACAAGAATGTTTGTTATGCGATTAATCTTTTACGTTCATGTTTTAATTTGTCTTTTAGGTTAGGAAATCGAAACAATCAGCAAACATGGCAAAGGAAAAGAAGAGATCGCTGCTAGAATGATTGCAAAAGGCTTTGTTACCAGCTTCCCTGAAGTGTTCTTGAACTTACTTTGCTCCATTTTAATTTCTGTGAATCACATTTTGCAAAAGATTAAGTGTGTTGTTGTAAGTTCACAATTTCCAATCAATCCTCTTCCACATGTGCGTTTGTTCAGTTGGGACAGCAAGTTGATGATGTCCCTGAATCTCATATGGTTAATTCATTTAGTTAACATTGAACCATGTCCGATAGAGATTTACGAAATCTTTTGCTTTCAACATGAACATGATTCGTGTGCTTTAATATACTCTTGTTTCTCTTTTGTAGTTGGTGTACGCTCAACAAGGCCATGAGTATCACTTCAAGCATGTCGAGCTCTGGTCTATCTAGAGTGTTGTTATTTGGTATATAGAGTGAATTGTTCCTCTCTACGGTAGCTAAAGTCGAAATTTGTACAGTTTGCCTAAACGAGAATTGTGTTGCATACCAGAATCAAACTTGTATTCAAAGTAATAATGTGAATATGAATTTCATAAGATCTAACTGCAG